TAATTTACCAAAGGCTCTAAGTGGTGGGGCTGGGTCACAGACTCAGAAAGGTCTCCCTTCCAAGACCACACTTCTAACCTCATCGCAAAGTGCCTCTCTTTTTCTCTGCCAACATCACAAAGAAGTCAATGGCCCTCAGTCTTTTGTCATATGTGAAAAGAAAACCATAATAACTAGGGCTTTTAAACAGCTCTGTTTCTTGTGTAAGTTTTCACAAGTAGGTCTTGTAGTTGGTCTTCTTTTAGGATAGACCAGTATAAATGAGTATACCAGACATTCCAGGCAGATGGTTTAACTACATCACACTTCCATGTCTCCATGTTTACAGTAAGGCTAACATCTCTTACCCCTTTCCTACTTTACATAAAATTATGAAGTTTAGGGATATGATGTCATCACTTGCACTTTGGACTTCTTGGAGAAGCAATTCTATGTAAACACACAGTAGAAATGACAGAAAAACACTGTCAGTGTGGTATGTACACAGTATAAAATGGACCAAATTAATTCCTTAGAGCTTGGGACAAAAATAGCCCCTTAGTCTTGCATATCTATTTTTTAATCATGTTGCATATGCCTGTTCTGTGGCTTTCAAGAGCAGTCTGAAAGGGCACTGTGTCTGATAGAATGTGGATTGCAGTAAGAGTTTAGCATTCTTCTTTTAGAGGAAACACTGCAATCCAAGATCTGGTCTCTTTCCAGCTTTTGAAAAACCACAGGTCAAAATTTTGTTGCCATATGAGAGTGTTGCATGGAGGGACATTAGCTATGAATTTCTATATACTAGAGACTATTCTGTCTTTTGTGGATAAAAAAAAGTTAAACAATAATTAATCTAAAAAAAAATGGAAAATTTTATTTGACCCAACCTGAGGATTATAACCCAGGGGACAGTCTCTTAGAGAGCTCTGAGGACTGTTCTGAAGAAGTAAAAGGGGAGGCCAGTATAGTTGTGATTTTGGAGAAGGGGGTACGTGCAACCAAGCACGCATCTTGGTAGAGGTGACTGCTATTTGTGAGGAACAGGTACCTTAGTTAATGGTTTTAGTGCTCCTCTAAGTATGGGAAGATGCAAAACACTGGATTCATAAAATCTTCTCCCGAAAATATCTAACTACCTGAGGGCCGGTTCTGTCAGTTTTCCCTCAGCACAAAAGGCCTCATCCTGACCTTCGCCCTGAATTCCTTTCAGGGTGTTCTGCATAGGTCAGCGACTGCAGTGGCCAATGACTTGTTCCTTGTAGAAATGGATGGTGGCAACATTCTTCATCTTACACTCCCTTCCCTTTTAGTCTTAATTTTGACCAAGGTTTCGGAGGCATTTCGTGAGCACTTTGTCCCACAGCTCTAGGAATGCTCATTCCCAGGTCAGACGAGGATTTGGTTGATAAGCCACTCAACGTGCTATTACTGGACTAGGCCCTGGTACCAGTGGCCAAAAGCCTCTGGATCACCTGTCTTACATTCCGTTATGGTCCAGGAAGTGGTTCCCTCTTGTTGCTTCTTCCCACATCTAGAGTTACACTATTATAATCATTGATTTTGTAGAACTATATCTTTGATCAGTCGTTTCAAGTCAACTAATGATCATTAATTTTATTGGCGGCTCAGTCACACATTTGATGATGCAAGAAGCAATCATCTTGTACAATAGGCAGAATACAAGCAATATAGCTAGTAGCATTCACAAGGTCATAAGTATTTAAGTGAAGAGCTTTCATTAGGTGTGGCCCAGTATCTCCCCAGGTCATCTGACCAGTCTGCCAGTCTGCTCTGCATCAATAGCTGTCTTTAAGGGAAATGACATATTGTTATTGTATGTAAAGTTCACTAAAGACATCTGCAGGTACAAGGTGAGTGGTGGGTCACTGTGACCCCTTAAGGATTGACAAAGGAATGTTATCTTCTAAGGAGTTACATGGCTGACATCCAAAGAACAACTGGCATTTATGGTTGAGCAGGTGTTTCTGCCACTGGGGAGTCTAGCTAATGCAGAATGCAGATGCACAATGAATGGTAGAGGGGAGGGAGGAGGCCAAAGGACAGAGAAAAAGGTTTATGCTTAAAGTTTTCTTGGCTTAAAATAGGAATTTTATGTCATCTCTTTTATGAAAGATCCAAGAGCCTCTTATAATGACTCAAAAATAATAATAAGGTCACTCTTTTTTCCAGAGTTACCAAAGTGGGCCATCATCTCAGAGTAGGAAATGAAAGGGGCCAGTATGAGATCCAAGTAGTTTTAAAAGGCATGAAGGATGTGAAAGTACTTAACACTACTGAACTGTATATTTTTTTTAATGGTTAAGGTGGTTAATTTTATATTATGCATATTTTACCACAATTAAAATGTTTTAAATTTTGTTATGTGTATTTAGCAAAGCAAATTTTATTTTTGTTGTTACTTTTTGGTTTGATCTCAATTTTTTATTTTTTTAAAGGATAGTTACCTTTTTAAAAAAAAATTTATTTATTTATTTTTGGCTGTGTTGGGTCTTCGTTGCTGCGCGCAGGCTTTCTCTAGTTGTGGCGAGCGGGGGCTACTCTTCCTTGCGGTGCGTGAGCTTCTCAATGCAGTGGCTTCTCTTGTTGTGAAGCACGGGCTCTAGGCGGGTGGGCTTCAGTAGTTGTGGCACGTGGCCTCAGTAGTTGTGGCGCACAGGCTTAGTTGCTCCGTGACATGTGGGATCTTCCACGACCAGGGCTCCGAACCCGTGTCCCCTGCACTGGCAGGCGGATTCTTAACTGCTGAGCCACCTGGGAAGCCCGATCTCAATTTTTTAAATTGTAGTATAGTTGATTTACAATATTACATTAATTTCAGGTGTACAGCATAGTGATTCAGTATTTTTGAAGAATATATTCTAAGTTATTACAAGATAATGGCTATAATTCCTTGTGCTATACAGTATATGCTCGTTGCTTATCTATTTTATACACAGTAGTTTGAATCTCTTAATCCCATAGGCCTATCTTGCCCCTCCTCTTCAGTAACAAGTTTGTTTTCTATACCTGTGAGTCTGTTTCTGTTTTGCATATACATTTGTTCGTATTATTTTTTAGATTCCACATATAAGTGATTTCATACAGTATATAATGGAAAAGTGCCAGGTTTCAACAGACAAGAGTCGGGCCTGCCTGTCTCAGCAGAGTCATGAAATGAATTAAATGAATCTCTTAGAACAGCGCTGGTGTGGACCATCCTCCCAGGATCTGATGGGCCTCTCTTTTTTTCCGGATAATGAAGACTGCTTTTTTAACAGAAAAGCCAATTTGATATGTTAATTGACGTGGCGCAGCATGCGGGATCTTAATTCCCCCACCGGGGATCAAACCCGAGCGCCCTGCAGTGGAGTGCGGAGTCTTGAACTCCTGGACCGCCAGGGATGTACCGATGCTCCTATATCTTAAGTGTATTTTTCTTATGGTAAAATATGGACAGCATTGTGGGTGGGGAGGACAAGTCTGGGACCAAATGTGGAATTTCCTCTCCTGACCACCCCTCCCCCCCTTGTTTAAGTAGGTCACTGTTATCGGTACCCGCTAGAAGAGACAGGAGTATAGAAGTGGGTGCTAGCATGTCAGTATAAGAGGTGTGTTCCTGTGGTGCATAAGTCCTTCGAGGTTGTATCTCAGGGGTGTGAAAGTGTGTCTGCAATAGCCCTCCTGGGTGTGTCAAAACATGATTTCATAGGCAGAATGGCCCTTAATGTGCAGATTCGGGTGGTGAGAGTAGATTGAATTCAGTCTTAAGATAAAAGATGAAGTTTGTTGTTTGTTCCCCCTCCCGAAAGACTTCGGCAGTGCCCCCCTGGGATGGGTCTTGGAAAGAACAGGACAGCGGTAGACTAGTCTCTTTTTCTCCCGTCCCCTTGGGCCTTTAAGGGGGCTGCGCGGACCTAACACCGGGCTGGAAGGAAGAGGCGTAAGTCAACTTCCTCGCCGGCTGCACCCGCGTCGGCCGTGGGCGCGCGCGGGTCTGCGCATCCCGCCCCCGGGTCGGGAAGGGGCGGAGCCGGGCGGAGCCCGCCCCCCGCGGTCCCCTCTTCCCTGCCGCTCCGCTGAGAAGCGCTGGCCTCAGTCTCTGCAGCCTGCAGGAAGCTGAGAGCGGGGACCCCGGGCCGGGAGTGCGGGCTGGGCTGAGTGCACGGGCTCGGCCGCCGCTGCCGGTGAGTCCCGGGGCGGGCGGCGCGGAGCGGGGCGGGAGGCGCGTCAGGACCGGGCTGTGGGGAGACCCCGGGCGCAAGCTCGGGGATGTCAGGCTCGCGACGTTGGGGAGCCCCAGACCCCAGCCCGGAGGAGCGTCGCGATGTGGAGAAACCCGAGCCCGGGGGCGGGGAGTCAGTGCCCTGGGGTTGGGGAGTCCGGGAGCCCTGAGGGCGAGGCGGCGGGTCAGGAAGGCGAAGTTGGGGCGTCCCGAAGCCCGAGCCTGGAGGACTGAGCGGTCAGGATCCTGACGTTGGAGAGGTCCGGAGGGTTGCGGAATGAGGGGTGCCCTGTCGGCATTCTTGGGGCGCCCTCCTCCGGGCGGAGGGGAGCAGAACCCGGGAAGGGAGTGCGGAGAGAGGAAGCCCGAGGCGGGCGGGGCGGGAGGGGAGCCCCGGAAAGCGTAGGGTGGGGCGAGGCGAGTGGCTTCTCCGGGGAAAGATGGAGGGGGCTTCTCCGAGAGGGCGGGTGCGGGAAGCGGAGTCGTGCGGGGAGCCTGGGGTTCTGTTCTGGAGGATAGGGGGTTGGAGGGCCGGAACGCCGCGGCGGAGGTCCGAGGTGGCGGGCTGAGGGGTGCGTCGGGGACTCAGGAAACATCTCGGCCTAGGGGACGCAATCCCCTTGGTGGAATGGGGTCATGGCAATCTCGAGAGGGCACCCACTCGAGAGAGCAAGACGGGCCACCCCAGACGGGGGCAGGTTGGGACCCCGCACCAGGCGAGCTCGGGGAGTGTTGGGACCTTGGGCGGGGGGACCAGGGAGGGGCGAACCTCGCTGACCCCACGCGGGCACCGCAGCGCCCTGTACGTCTGTGGGCCCTCAGGCACAGACTCACAAAAGGGAGACCCGCGGGCCGGACGGGCTTTTGGTTGCACCTCGTATTTCTGAGCTGGGTTAGAAGTGATTTTGCCCAGGGATCCGATGAGAAGAGTCTGGGCTTAAAAGAACAGTTCTGGAGTGAGTTTTCAAATGTACAGGTAAGCTCTACGTGTGTGTGTGTAATTTTTAGACTCACATGTGCTACTTGCTGCCCCCTCTCCTGTACTCTTGAGAGGCAGTTTCTGAGTAAAAACTGGAAGAAAATCAGGAAGGCGCTCTCTTGCACACATGCACACCCGAACCGCCCACAAATGCATTGCATTCCACAGCCGAGTAAACACGAGGAGTGCTGTACAGTGTTGGATTGTTTCTTTTGGCGAGGGCTCCCTTTACTGGAGTTAATAGGAGTTACCTGCATGGAAGGTGGACTGCCCTTGACTGCCCTCTTAGGATGTGCACAGCCTATACCCACCCCTGAGCTGCTACACCCTTGAACAAGTCACCCGGCAGGGCACTAGGCAGCTTAGGACCTCAGTGGATGGACATTCTAGAGTTTCTGAAGATAAACAAACGACCCGTACCCTGTCTGGTTTTTTTTTTTTTCTGTTGTTTGTCTTGGGTGCCTGGCTCCCTTTAATTAGTTAAATAATATTGACATATTAACATATCCTGTATGGTTAATTATGTGTTGTAATTAGTTTAATTATTTGATATAACAGCTAATTCTGGAAGACCCAGGGCCCTGGGAATCCTGTTAAGTGGATTTCTCCCTTAGAAGGTTCCTAGGCTTTAAGGGGCAGTGGGTGAGAGATGCCTCCCATTCCCTTTCTTTTCTGCTGTAGATATAGGTCCATCTTCTGATGCACACTGAGATTTGAGCTTCCTGGGAGGACCAAAGATTTTTGGCAACTAGCATATGTTGGGCCCTTTTTTCCCCCCCTTCATGAAAAGCAAAGCTCTTCAGTCATTATGCAAGTTAGTGGAAGAGTGATCTATTCATTTCACAGGTATCATTTCAGGAGAAGCTTTTCTTTTATTTTCACCAGCGGGTGGTCAGAACCTTGAACCAAAATCTGCATTATTATTATTGCGTTAGCATATTTATCCACTTGGACGTAGAGCTAGCTGATTCTTCCAATTCTTTATCCAAACGTTAGGATAAATACGCCAGTATTTATACATTCAAATAAATGCATGTTTCTCCCCTTCAGAAGCCTCGGCTTGGCCAGCTGTGTACTAATTCTAGTGATGCTGTCATTGCTGAGAATAATTTTGGAGCTCCTGCTTTGGAGTTGCCTTCAGAGCTGGCAACACGGTGACTGAATTGCCTCTGTGATGGCAAACCTTCTGAAGCTGGGAAACAGCCAAGCACTGTGTGGAGCCAACTGTGGTGGAGAATCGAGGTTGTAATAGGAAGTGTGTCCATTAAGGTAATGAAAGTCTTCTTGAAGGACTAGCAGGTCTACAGGGGTCATCCAGTAAAGAGTAAATGTATGTGTTTAGGATTGTAAAGTAGTTGCTGTGAAATGCAACCTTCATTTGGATGTTCGTGCTCTGGCATGTGTGTAAAAAACTGGCCCTATAGTACCTTGCTATACCTTATGGCTTATTGGGCTGGAGAAAATAAGCCTTTCTTTTCCCCTTCCATGTACTCTTTACCAGGCAGTTTCCATCCCTTTGCATTTTTACAGGAAGCAAGATGAACAAAAGACTTGTTTTTTCAGAAAAAAATGTAGTCAGAAAGTCACTTACCCCATGGGTCATTAATGCCTGGTACCTGAGTTTTTATGTGAAAGAATCTATATAGAATCAAGCGGAAGAGAATGATTTCTGAAAATCCATTTCAGTTTTGTAATTCCATAGCACACAGCGTGAAAAATTAACATATCCTTTTTCTGCCATTGGTTCCATAAATTCCCAATTTTTTTTCAGGTTGTTAACCCAAAGCTTCATATAGCCATGGCTTGAATCTTGATTTAGCTGTGATCTTGGACAAGTTATCCATCTCTTTCGGCCTCAGTTTTTCTACCCTAAAATGAAGATGTAGTAAGTAGGTACCTCATGGGACTGTGATGAAGATGAAATAAGATTATGCATATAGAGCCCTGAGGTCAGTGCCCCATACATAAAGTCTTGCTCTTTGTGTTATTAATAGTGCTTATTGATAGTTTTGTATTAAAATTCCTTTTAAGCCATGTAGAAATTTATCATTTCCAAGTAATGACATTCCCTTTGGCTGGGCTTTGCAAATCAATTTGTCAATGAGAACACCTGGTTTTTACTCTCCTAGCCTCTCAGGAGTTTTTAAAGAGTCGCCTTTACTGCAACCAGAACAAGCTACTTTATTTTGAATTCTGATGTTTTAAAAAACGAACAGTCCTGTTTTGATTGTGTGTTAGGTATAAGAGTTTGGTCAAAAGCTGAAGGAAAATTGTTTAAAAGCTTCTCCTGTAATTTTTTCCCTTGATCCAATAAAATATTATTCTAACGACGTAGCTATAGTTTTCTTGGCATATATTGAAAGGGATGATTCTGGGGAACATTTGTTTCAGTTAAACGAGTTTTGTTCTGCTTTTTTTAAATGATAGGGAGGAAGAACCTGGCACTATGTTCTCAGCTCTTCCATAAATATCGACTTTAATCTTTTGCAGATTTATGAATTTTATTAAAAATATTTGCATACAAATAATTTTATCATAATTTTTAATCCAATGGTTCGGGGTTACTATGAAATAGAGGTTTCATGGAATGTTCGACATTTAGTGAGAGTTCTCTGCGTTTCAGCGAAGTTTGTTCAGGAGTCAGAGGTATGAGAAACAGATTTCTTCCTCCAGAAGTTCACGTAATGTGCTCTTTTAGGACAATGCATTAGCAAGAGTATTTTTTCTCCTAATGGCTTATAGGGCTAAGGATTAATATGGATTTCACTGCATGTTCTTTTCCCTCAATTTCTTGGAGAAGGTTAAATATATAGATCTCTCAATAGTGTTCATATTTTTTGACGTGGATTAGATCCTGCTATGCACTCACATGCCATAAAAGGAGATAAGGGCTCTAAAAGTATTTAGTGAATTGTAAAGTGATACACAGTCTGCCTTCCCTGTAGGGGCTGGATGGGGGGGGCACTCTGCATCCTCAGATTCAACCAACTGTGGATGGAAATGTCAAAAAAATTAATCCATAGTCGGGGATATATGTATATGTAAACTGATTCACTTTGTTATAAAGCAGAAACTAACACACCATTGTAAAGCAATTATATTCCAATAAAGATGTTAAAAAAATATTAATCCATAGTCAATCTGAGAAAGAAATGGAAAATCTTTATTTGAGCCAACCTGAGGATTATAACCCAGGGGACAGTCTCTTAGAGAGCTCTGAGGACTGTTCTGAAGAGGTAAAGGGGGAGGCCAGTATAGATGTGATTTTGGAGAAGGGGGTACGTGCAACCAAGCACGCATCTTGGTAGAGGTGACTGCTATTTGTGAGGAACAGGTACCTTAGTTAATGGTTTTAGTGCTCCTCTAAGTATGGGAAGATGCAAAACACTGGATTCATAAAATCTTCTCCCGAAAATATCTAACTACCTGAGGGCCGGTTCTGTCAGTTTTCCCTCAGCACAAAAGGCCTCATCCTGACCTTCGCCCTGAATTCCTTTCAGGGTGTTCTGCATAGGTCAGCGACTGCAGTGGCCAATGACTTGTTCCTTGTAGAAATGGACGGTGGGCAGCATTCTTCGTCTTACACTCCCTTCCCTTTTAGTCTTAATTTTGACCAAGGTTTCGGAGGCATTTCGTGAGCACTTTGTCCCACAGCTCTAGGAATGCTCATTCCCAGGTCAGACGAGGATTTGGTTGATAAGCCACTCAACGTGCTATTACTGGACTAGGCCCTGGTACCAGTGGCCAAAAGCCTCTGGATCACCTGTCTTACATTCCGTTATGGTCCAGGAAGTGGTTCCCTCTTGTTGCTTCTTCCCACATCTAGAGTTACACTATTATAATCATTGATTTTGTAGAACTATATCTTTGATCAGTCGTTTCAAGTCGACTAATGATCATTAATTTTATTGGCGGCTCAGTCACACATTTGATGATGCAAGAAGCAATCATCTTGTACAATAGGCAGAATACAAGTAATATAGCTAGTAGCATTCACAAGGTCATAAGTATTTAAGTGAAGAGCTTTCATTAGGTGTGGCCCAGTATCTCCCCAGGTCATCTCTTCAGTCTGTTCTGCATTAATCGCTGTCTTTAAGGGAAATGATATATTGGTATTGTACATAAAGCTCACCAAAGATGTCTGCAGGTATAAGGTGAGGGTGTGTTATTATGACCCCTTAAGGACTGACAAAGGAATGTTATCTTCTAAAGAGTTAGGTGGCAGTCAGAAGAACAATTGATCTTTATGTTTGAACAGGTGTTTCTGCCACTAGGGAGTCCGGTTAATGCATAATGCAGATGCACAATGCACGGTAAAGGGGAGGGAGGAGGCCAAAGGGCAGAGGAAAATTTCATGTTTAAAATTTTCTTGTCTTGCCTTAAACTGTGAATTGAAATAAACATCAGAAAATATTTAGGAAAAAAATTCCAAAAAACAAAACTTGAATTTGCATGCACAGGCAACTACTTATGTAGCATTTACTTTACATAGCATCTACATTGTATTTACAATTATTTTCATAACATTTACATTGTATTAGGTGTTATAAGTAATCTAGAGATGTTTTTAAAGTATATGGGAGAATGTGGGTTGGTTACATGCAAATACTATACCATTGTATATAATGGACTTGAGCATCCACAGATTTTGGTATCTGAGGAGGGTCCTGGAACCAATCCCCCACAGATACTGAGGGATCACTGTATAACCATAGGATAGGGGGCTATTATTGTTGTTCCATACTTTCCCAGAGTGTTCTGATTATCACCTCCATAGCAGTGTTTGGCCCTTGCTCTGTCTCTCTTCTGAATGGTGGTTTACACCCAGAAAACAATACAGCAGCGTGGTTTAGACTAGAGCAGTGGTTCTTAATAAAGAGCAGGGGCTGTGTTTTTGCATCCGCCCGCCCCCCAACCCACCAGGACATTTGGCAATGTCTGGAGATGTTTTTGATTTTCACAGCTGGGAAGAGGAGAGATGTTATTGACATCTAATGGGTAGAGGCCAGAGATTCTGCTAGGTATAGTATAATTCACAGGACATCCCCTTACAACAAAGAATTTTCCAGCCCCAAATGTCAGTAGTGCTGAGAGACCCTAGACTAGAGCAAGGGACCTGGAATGGGGACCAACCTGTGTTAGCATCCTGGAACAACCCTGAGTGAGTTCCTTAACCTGAGTGTCTATAAAATGCAAGTCTGAAGTGCTATTGTGGAATAGGTGAGATAGTGTATATAAAGTACTTAGCTCACAGAGGTGCCCCGTGAATGGTAACTCTTAGTATTATGTCTGGTTGGTAAATCCAGGGACTATATGCTTTAAATAGACAGCTTTGGCTTTTGAACCCATTGTGTACAGAACCAAGTCAGGTTTCATTTTTCTTTTTCTATAAATTTATTTATTTATTTATCTTTGGCTGTGTTGGGTCTTTGTTGCTACATGCGGGCTTTCTCTAGTTTCAGCTAGCGGGGCTACTCTTCGTTGCGAGCTTCTTATTCCCGTGGCTTCTCTTGTTTTGGAGCACCAGCTCTAGGCGTGTGGGCCTCAGTAGTTGTGGCACGTGGGCTCAGTAGTCGTGGCTCGCAGGCTTTAGAGCGCAGGCTCAGTAGTTGTGGCACATGGACTTAGTTGCTCCGTGGCATGTGGGATCTTCCCAGACCAGGGCTCTAACGTGTGACTGCTGCATTGGCAAATGGATTCTCAACCACTGCGCCACCAGGGAAGCCCTGCTGGACAGTTTTCAAAGTGCTTTTATATACCTTGTCAAATACAACTTTTGCAACCACCCTGTGAGGCATGGAAGGCAGATATCATATTGATTTTTTTTTTTTTTTACAGATGAAGGAAACTTGGGGCTGGAGATGGTAAGAAATTTGTCAAAGTCACAGTGAGAAAAGGGCAAAAACAGGGACTCAGACCCAGGTTGAGTAGCTTCCGATTACTGCTACAGGGCTCCATCCACCACACCTTTCTGTCTCTTCTGATGTAGATGGAGCATGAACTTGATGCAACTTCAAATAATACATCAAAATAATAACTATTGACTGAACATCTACTGATGTCAGGAAATGTACAGTTGACCCTTGAGCAACCTGGGGGTTAGGAGTGCCAACCTTATGTGTGGCCTGGGTAGTCCTGGCTGAGAAGGAACCTGAACAGTGACCCTGTGGAGTGAGATTTGATGGACTTCTGGGAAGTGGTCTGAGAAGCAAAGGATATCTTGTTCGTTCATTCGTTCGTTTGTTCATTCATTCGTCAGTATTAAGGGCTTACCAGGGCCAGGGTCTATGCTGAACACGGGGTAAAGATGGAATGTTGAACCCAAATGCAGTCCCTGCCCCTACAGAGGTGACAGTTTGGAGTTGAGTTGTAGGGAGGATGTTTTGCTTCAGAGGTAGGTGGGGAAAGGATTCCTCAAGGCTTTTTCATACCTGTGCACAGAGCTGAAGCGAAGCTCAGGCCATGTGTAAGTAGAAGGTGCTGGTTGGCTGTACTCAGGAGCTTAGAGTGGAAGAATAAGACCTCATGTTATGGGGATATACGTACATGTAGAGCTGATTCACTTTGTTATAAAGCAGAAACTAACACACCATTGTAAAGCAATTATACTCCAATAAAGATGTTTAAAAAATAAATTAATTAAAAAAGAAAAAAAAGACCTCATGTTATCCCACATGACATCCAGAACCCCACTTCCCCAAAGGTGGGGAACCGCCCTCTGCTGGAAGTCACCTGGGTTGGACAATCAGGTTGAGTTAAGCCTGGGGCTTAGGGAAGTCTTTCGTCCTCAGCGTGTCTGGAAGGGTACAAGCTCCAAACCATCTAGATTGCTAATAAACTGACCCTGTTGTCTTATGTGACGAAGACTCCATACTATAGCAGAGCAGGGCTTGTTGAATGAGTGAATTAATAATAATTATAATAAATGTTAGTCTATGGTAGAGGTAAT